GAGGCAAATAACTTAGAAATCTAAGAAACTAAGCAAAAGAAGTAAGTAAATAGGGCATGTATATGTATGAAATTATGAGCTTAACAGGGCCCGCCCGAATTATCTAAAGACTCGTGTCAACCTCATAGGGCCCTCCCACGAGTCCCACATCGAAATTAAGTACTAAGAGCATACCAAATGCCCTCTATAAATAGGCCCCTTCACTACAATACAAGGGTAAGACTTTTGAGCTTGACTTTTATGTTAAATATATTGTCAGCAGCAAAAGCTCTTAGAAACAAACTTACTTTGGCATCGGAGGGTCTTAGGCTGGTTCCACACCGGTTCCATAGACCTTATGAGTCTCGGCTTCCTTCTATTCAGGATCAGCGTCCAAAGAACAGGAAGGATCCGCGTCCAACACACAATCGATCCCGAGATCGTCCACATCACTTGTAAGTTGCACTCATCTCTATCTGTTCAGTTTTAGTGCCAACAGTTTCTATTATTGATGTAGGTTGTCCTTACTTGTTTCAAGTCCTTTGTCACGACCTGACTCCCTTAGCAAGATATTGTCCGCTTTGAGCCTCCCTCCTCACGATTTTGTTCTTGGGCTCAAGCTAATGTTATCTTGCCCAAAAAGCCTCTTACTAGGAAGAGAAGTGCCCACACATATAAAGCACTTCACCTTTCCCCAAAAGGCCTCTTTCTTGTGTTGATATTGTTGATAATTGTTTGACGCCCAGGTGTGTGGCGACAACCAATACCCGCCGATATGCCTCCACCACATAGTAGTCCATGAACTCCACAACCATTGCTATCCACCCATAAGGATCTTCACCATAAAATCTGGGTAATTCGATTTTCATTGACTTCATTCCCATCGAATGAGCAAATGTTCCAAAAACTAGAGTAGTGGTTGGTGAATTTGTATATGTGGGTATTCCAAACAGTTGCAATCTCGTGGTAAACATTTGAGTTGTGGTGGTAAAGGGTACATTTGGGTTGCTGCTCATGGGCATTTGAAAAGTTGTGGGTACGGTTGTATTGGGTAATCAAGTGGTCATGATTGGTGCACCCGGTGGTCTAGATAGAGGAGGGAAATGTTGGGATGAAGATGGTGAGTGTTGAGGGATGTTTGGAGGAATCGTGGTTGTGGGAGCAAATATTTTCGTCTCCAATCACAGCACGCTACGTGGAAAAGAAGATTACCCCTTAAATTAATTAATTAAACCAATTTATTTGGTTAATTAATTAATAGGTTTAATATTAATTATAAGATAATATCATTAATTTGGATATTATCCTAATAAGGGGATAAAGTCATCATCAAATTAGGATATTTGGATCCCAATCAAATTCCTAATGGGCTCAATCTCTATACTTTGGGTAAAGAATAAACTCCTCATAATAAGAGTTTATTCTTGGTGAAACCCTAACCCGAAGCTCCTATAAATAGATGACTTCATTCGTCATTCAAGGGACTTAAAAAAACCTACATCTAAACCTACTCCTAAAACCCGAGAAAAATACCCGAAGCTCTTTCTCCCTCTCCGCTCTCCGCTCTCCACTCTCCACTCTCCACTCTCCATATTTTCTCCACACGGCTCCGGCCACCCGGTTCACACCATACATACATCTCTGTACCCTTTTGTTAGCTATTGTTTTCCCATAAACACTCGAACTAACTTAGGGATTGGGGGGCCTTTGGCCAATACCCCTCCGAGTGTGGTCTATTTACTCTGGTCTTTTTTACAAGAATCGAGGAAGAGAAAGAAAGAAGATCAAAGGGTGAAGGATCTATAAGCGAATATTCTCCCACGAGGATTTTTGCACAAACAGTAGTGGTTTGGGTCGCCAAATTGGGTACGGTTACGATTCCAGAAGAAGAAATCGGTGTAGATCTAGTTGGGTCAGCCATAGTAGGCACATATCTGACCGAACTTGACAGACTCGTTTTTAAGGAGCGAATCTCCTCCATCAAGGTGTGCTGCAAATTCGCCTGTTCGGTTTGATGGGTGGTCAAGGCAGACAACAATTTCTATATTTCCCCCATGTTTTTCTGAAGTTCCACTTGGCGAGATGCCAACAACGTTACCGAATCTACCACCTCCGTAATTTGATTCACCATTTGATCTCGTTGAAACTTGAGTTCGATTCCTGCCGTCGTGAGCTCCGCCGTGGCGGCAGTTTGTTTGTGTTTTCCCATTTGCAACTTGGCTCTGGATACCAGTTGATGGGTTCGTTATCTCAAAAGGGAAAAGAGAGCAAAATGGGAAATAGAAATAAACTCAATTCAATAATAATCCAAAAATAGGGTCAACCAACACTTAAATACAGCTTTCAAGATGTCTCTTAGCAACATAAAAGTAAATAACGAGTTACACGAGTTACAGCTAGTGGTAAATAGCTAGGTGAAAGTAAAAGATAAAGATATAGTTGATAATGGGAAAATGGGGTTCATCACATAAAGCCAACATCATAGAAAAGTCTGATATAAAAAAAATTTAAAATTAAAATAAATATATAATATTTTTTTTTTTTTCAGAAGGAGAAGGTTAGGTTGCTGTTGATATGGTTGTCATGCTGTTCTAATATCCTTTTGGGTTATTGATCCCAATGGTCTCCCAACTATTGCTCCAGTATTATTTTGGTCCACCAACTAAAATTTTCATTTCATTGGTCCTTCAACTCTTCATTTGGTATCAAAACGGTCCTACCGTCAAAGTCTGTCGAATATTCCGTTAAATTGAGGGGCAAAAAAGTAAAATATTATTTAAAAAAGGGTTGATGACTGAAATGGTCCCCCAACTATTGCTCCAATATCATTTTGGTCAACCAATTAAAATTTTCATTTAAACCGTCCTTCAACTATTTTTTTTGTATCAAGATGGTCTTACCGTCAAAGTCTATCAATTTTATTGTTATTTATTTTTGTATTTATCTGATTTTAAAATTTTTAATTAATTTAAACAATAGAGAAAAAAATTATTACTTTTTAAGTCCATGTCAGCAAAAAAAAGCCATGTTAGTGGTGACATTCAATTTTTTCAATTTTAAAATTAGGTACAAGTTCCTATAATAGTTTCCTTTAATTTTTAAATTAATTTAAACAATAGAGAATTTTTTTATTTTATTAATTGTTTGGTCAGTCTCACGAAAAAAAAAAAGGCCATGTGGCTGGTGAGATTCAATTTTTTAAAATTTTCTAAGTTTTATAATAATTTCCTTTAATTTTTAATTATATGTTACTATTTTAATTCATAAAGACATTTTGAATTATATGTTACTATTTTAACGGTAGGACCATCTTGATATAAAAATAGGAGTTGAAGGACGGTTCAAATGAAAATTTTAGTTGGTGGACCAAAATGATACTAGAGCAATAATTGGGGACCATTTCAGTCATTAACTCTATTCTTTTACATCTATTGTAGCTCGAAGATTATGGCAAGAACCCTGCAGGCGAGACAGAGGTACAATTTAGGCTAACAAGAGTTACACTCGAGCCTATGTTAAGATCGATGGCCTATATCAGTCAGCAGCTCTCTGCACCAGCCAACAGAGTTGCTGTCATCAATTTGAAGGTATGCAAACCCAAAGTTTCAACCTCTTTCGTATCACAGTTTTTCCCCTTGTGTTAAGGTATTTACAATGAAATTTCTTGGGTTTCACCGTAATTTGCAATTGGATTGGCATCACAGTTAGACTTGTGACAGGAATTTGAATTGAGCTATCTATAGTCAGTATAGGTGGTTGAGTGAGTTTATAACTGAAGATTTCTGGATTAATAGGCCTGTTTAAAGGTTGTGGGGGTAAAGTCCACTATTGAGTATCTTTCAAAAGAGATTATGGGTTAAGTTCAACAAAGTAAGCTGCAGGAATTATCTGGGCTGAAGCCTGGAGGTAAGGATATATGGATTTCCTGTTGGGAAAATGTTGGGGAAATAAGTGGACTTTAGAGTGTGAAAAGCTATACCAAGAGGGTATTGAGGAAGGAAATACTAAGCTTGGGGTGTTTTCTGGGGCTGTTAACAACATACTGAGAGTAGACGAGAAACTATCGTATATGAGACCAATGTTATAAAATTTGAGGTCATTGAATAAAATTTGAGTTACATTTAGTTAGTTTTATGCTTAGATCGTATTTATTATAACATTTAGCAATTTATTAAATATATGACATTCGTATTACTGCTGAACCTATTGGTTCTTGTCAAGGGCACTGCAAAGAAATCGATCCTCATAAAAGTCAAACACTACAAAGAGTGAAAAATAACCGACGTTAAATACCTTAAAGGCATCAATAAATATATGAGGTGAAGTAATTCTCCTTAAAAGGCATCGCAAATATGAAGAAAACGATGCTCATAACAGTTAGGCGATACAATGTGTGAAAATAACCAATGCTAAATACCTTAAAGACATCGGGAAGTGGTTGTCCATAATAGGCATCAAACCTATAGATAAAGCTATGCTTATAACAAAAATACACTACAATGTTAACAACATTACCGAATCCACCACCTCCGTAATTTGATTCACCATTTGATCTCGTTGAAACTCGAGTTCGAGTTTTGCCGTCGTGAGCTCCGCCGTGGCGGCAGTTTGTTTGTGCTTTCCATTTGCAACTTGGCTCTGGATACCAGTTGATGGGTTCGTTATCTCAAAAGGGAAAAGAGAGCAAAATGGAAAATAGAAATTAACTCAATTCAATAATAATCCAAAAATAGGGTCAACAAACGCTTAAATACAGCTTCCAAGTTGTCTCTTAGCAACATAAAAGTAAATAACGAGTTACACGAGTTACAGCTAGTGGTAAATAGCTAGGTGAAAGTAAAAGATAAAGATATAGTTGATAATGGGAAAATGGGGTTCATCACATAAAGTCAACATCCTAGAAAAGTCTATGATATAAAAAAAATTTAAAATTTAAATAAATATAATATATATATATATATATTTTGTATCTGAAATCCAAATGGTGCTTCAATTTCATAATGCGCTAATTCATAGTACCAGGTGTCTAGCCTTGCCTTGCATATATTCTTGGGGATGTTGAAACTAAATCAACTCCAAACTGGTAAGTGTTAAAATAGAATGAGGTCAAAACTCTAAGCACTTTCATAGAATCAGGTCCAAACCTCATGGATCTAATTGCATAATAATGGACCAAACCATCACAATATGTCTTTTTCTCTTGTTTTTAATGAAGCTACACCCTACGTCGCCGTCGGACGTAAGTGAGTAGGCGCACATCACCCTTCATATCACTATGATTGCGACAGAACGGGCTTCCACAGAGACAATGGAAGGGCTTCATGGGGTGGCCACTATCATGATCACGGTCATGAAAGTCGATGCCATAGTCCTGAAACAGCATAGGCATTTGAAAGTTGGATGATGATGCCAAACACACATTAATAACATATCATAGACAGGTGAACCCCCCTCTTACCCAGGTCAGCTCCTCCATGGCATCAACCTTCCTTGTTGTGAAAAGGGCAATCTGCATGAAATAAATAAAAGAAATCATATTTACTTGTATGAAGAATTGGTTCGAGTAGTAGTACGAAGAAGATCGAAGGGATGAGATCATTGAATGCTGAAAAATCATACATGATAGTAGTGATGATCTGGGGTCTCCACTTCCACAGGGATCTCTACCAAGGTAGCATCAGAACATCTGACCAATAAATGTAAAACGTTTCAGTAGAAGATTTTAGCAACAAAAAAAAATTATTCAAAGGGAGGAGCAAATTAGCCTGCTCTCATCAATCAAGATATCGAAGAATACAAACCATTCTGGCACAGAATGACATTGAGACAGCTTCAATAAGAAACATGGCTCTTAATATAGAATTTATAATACATACAAAAATGGAATGATGCTCGTCAGTGATCGTCTAATAACTGTTCGTTAAGTTTATTGCACGTGGCAATAACTTAACTTTGACGCAAGCATGCAATCTAAGATTAACCTTAAATAACGAACAAAGAAATAAGGGAGTTTTGATAGGCAGAGTAGCAGAGATGAGTTCATGTTCACCCCTAAGATGTTAATAGGGGGCATCATGAAACCAAATCAGTTATTTTAGGCAGACAAGGTCAGCTGAATTAATTTGAGTAAAAAGAAACTGCAAACCATGTAAAGGAATACAGTCAAATAATTAGACAATTGACAAGAAAATACTTCTACACGAAGGCTAAACCGCTAAACCTAGAATTGATGCAATCTGAAAATTTATTTGTTTGAGGAGTAGATAAATGGTATAACCTATCAACAGAGCATCCTATTTAACTAAAATGTTCCAAAAACCTGAGGAATGAAGTGCAACGCATTCCCTTCCTATGATGTTAAGATACAACCTAATAACCTTGAGCTTCCTTTTGGTCAGAGATAACCTTGAAATTTATATAGAAGAGAATAATATAATTCTTATGCAATATCACCTTTGACTAGAAATATAAATCTAATAATTACTATAAGCACTCAGTTGGAGGAAGTGGCTGGGGTATATAAGAGTATGGATTTTACACCTGTGATTGATAAACCTCGCAACATTTCCGTAAACAGTAGCGTCCAAGCAAAGGACCTCTTCATCTTTCAAGACACCCTTCGAACCCCTGCCTGCATCTAGTAGAACTTGGTAGCGTGTATTCTTGTTACCAGGACTTCCCACATTTTGCTCATGTAGTTCTGTGTTGGTTAATATCTCTCCAACATACTCACAAACAAAAGCCCCTGGTGGCAAGTCCTCCAGTGTTCGACGATTCCACCCTTTCCCATCGGGTGTCAAAAACACCAGCAACATAGATTAAACCACTTACACGCCTTTAGAATTTATACCCATCTGGTTATTATTACCTAGGGCCTTGAAATTCACAGAGGACAAACTAACCTGCAACTTCACAGTGATGCTTTGCTGAACAATCCGGTTTCCACATTTCTTATTACACCAGCATTTACACCAGCATTCCTTTATAAATTTCAGTAACAAATGGCCTTTGCATGGCACGGAACTCTTCTCATCCTTAGACCTTTGAAGTGGGCAGTTTCTACAATACAAGTAGTGGTCTTGTTTAAGTTCCCGCTTCAAGGATATACATTCTTCCAGAAACTTCTCCTTGACGAATCCTCCTGGAGTGTATGCAAACTGACTCCCAGTCTCAGCCGCACAGACGCAAGGTACTGGTGATGTCAAACAATCCCCAACACAATGTGAACAGCAATCCTCATGAGATATACGAGCAAGTGAAAATTTCACATAGGCGTTCTTATAAACTAAATTATTGGGGATGTGAAAAAAGATTGGCAGATCTCCAGCATTTCTTCCATTCTCCAAGGAAACTTTCACTCTTTCTTCACCTCTACTTATGTCATCAATATAAACAAAGGATTTAATGACTCCATGTGAAGAATGGTAGTTATGAGCAGCCTCCACCTTGCATAATTTTGAAGATCTACAGCCTTAGATCACCTTTAATCTCTTTGCGGTTTCACCAACGATGTTCTCAATATCCGTTCTTGCAAAACCAATTAAGCATTGAAGACCATCATCACAACCAAAAGCTATATGTTTGGGTATATGGGGTATAACCTTGATAAGATTTTTACATAAAATTAATTCACTTTGAAAACTTAGATGATCATATTTACTGGCAAGAACATCTTGTGCAGCATAAAAGGTGGAATCAGTTCCTGTTTCCACAAACCATTCTTCAACCCTACATGATTTTATGTGTGTCTCTTCCACCATTTCTAGAGCTTCATCAAAATGTGGAGGACAGAAATCAGACTGTGGAGAAGAGTGGCAAATCATAGACATTTCCAGGTCACCCTTCGGAGTAGATGATGCAGCTACAAACTCTGGCAAATCAAAAACATTATCTTTGTTGTCCGTATTCAACGATTCCACTTCCAACAACTTCAAGCCGTCTTCATCAAAATCTGAAGAACTATCTTCACCTATAAGATTGAGACTTTCTTCCAGTTGCGTGTTGCGATTACGCAGAGGATCGAAGTTATTCCCAGAGTCCAAAACCTCTCTTTCCTGGTGTCTTCGTCATCTTCTTCTTACTAGTGGTTGAGAGTCTTCAGATTCTTCCGAATCAGAAAACAGATTATCCTCATTACTCTGACGTGCCCTTTTTAATGGAAACTTTTCAAGGCAAGATGTGGAGTGTTCCAAAGGAGACAATCCCTGTTTTTTCTGTTGCCTTGTGCAATATCTCTTGGTTGGAAGTTCAACAACTTCAGTTTTATCATAAGGTGGAGCTTCTTTTTTCTTCGATCTCACTACCTGGCCCGAAAATATATGAAATGCTAAAACACTTAAACTTCAGTTTTATCATATAAGAAAACCATTATGCCCTCCGCATGGTTGATGAGAGCTCCATAATTTGTAACAATTATAAACAGAAATATATGGCATAGAGAATATTATCATACATAATACAGCAAGAAATGCTCACCTTTGATTCATGGATCAAAGCTATCCTTTTCCATTTTAAAGGGAAAATAAGGATGCCCATTAAGTATAACAAAATAAATAAAAAACTATTTAAATAGATATTCCAATATTTATCTTCTATTATATATGACATATATAATAGATGAAAAATAAATAAAAACAAAATCTTGAAAAGCATTGAATAAACAAAACACTAAAATAATTAATAAAAAATTTAAAAGCAAAATCTTATTAAAATATGAAGAAGAAAAAAAGAAGGTAAAAACAAACCTTTTCCTCCTCTGGCTTGTGGTCCAGAACAAAGTCCAGCAAAAGTCTGTAATTTTCATCAATAATAAGCTCCCAGCTGTTTGCATAGACTTTCAGAGGCTCTTTGACCGCTGCCTTTGTCTGACCTTCGGAAATGCCAAAAGGCTTCATTGCCCTACAGGCATCAGCCATTCGAGAATTTTTTGGCGGCATCACTAAACTGTTCACACCCTTTGTCTCTTCCTTTCATTTTTCCACAAGTACCTAGAAGAAAAAATAAGCTAGATGAAGAAGAAAGCTTTTACAAAGTAGTGGTTTTTACCTCTCTCTGTTTTCTGGGCATTTAATTTTCAACAGACTCAGAGCACCTCTTAATTTTTCAGACTCTCTGTTTAACCTCTGGTTGCTTTGGGGAAATGGGAAAATGCTAAAGGAGAAGAACAAGAAGATGGAGAGTTGTTTTTGCAGATTAAAAAAATTACCCAGATAGGTAAACTGATATACACAGAGAGAGAGAGAGAGAGAGATGAATAAAAAGGTATGTTTAGAGCTTGTCAAGCAGCTAGTTTTGGACTCGGGCTGCGGGGGTTTTGGGAGAAAAACGGGCTCCAGCAGCAAAGGTTGGCCCGAGGGCGAGTTGGGAGCCACGATGAAGGCCTGGCCCGAGGGCAGGTTCAGCCTGAGATCCAAAACGAGGGGCTGACGTCAGCAACAACAAAAAAATGAAAATAATCGAAAAAAAAAAAAAATCAAATTTTTTTAAAAAATAAATACTTAGTCATATTTTTCACTTCCCACGCCAAAAATCTTTTTAAAAAATATTGTCCAAATTAATTGTTTAGGTAAACAAATATGTGAAAAAAAACAAAAAAATGAATAGTGTTTGCCATAAACTAGGGCAACTATTGGAAACCAACATTGCTTTTTGCAAGGGTAGCCACTATTCACATGAATAGTGGCTACCCTAGCTCCCTCCTTGTCATGGCAAGAGGCAACTGCTGGAAATGCTCTTATGGGATTTGGTGGGAGCAACTTTCTATGCTCCACCACTGAGAGCATTTCCCGCAGTTGCCTTTAGAGCAAGTCCAGCAGCTAGTTTTGGACTCGGGCTGGGGGGATTTTGGGAGCAAAATGGGCTCCAGCAGAAAAGGCTGGCCCAAGGGCTGGGTGGGGGCCACGAAGAAGGGCTGGCCCGAGGGTAGGTTCAGCCTGAGATCCAAAACGAGGGGGCTGACGTCAGCAACAAAAAAAAGTAAAAAAAAATCGAAAAACAAAACAAAAAAATTTAGATTTTTAAAAAATAAATACTTAGTCATATTTTTCACTTCCCACACCAAAAATCTTTTAAAAAAATATTGTCAAAATTAATTGTTTAGGTAAACAAATATGTGAAAAAAATAATAAAATGAATAGTGTTTGCCCTAAACTAGGGCAACTGCCATAAACCAACATTGCTTTTTGCAAGGGCAGCCACTATTCACGTGAATAGTGGCTGCCCTTGCAAAAAGCAATGTTGGTTTCCAACAGTTGCCCTAGTTTAGGGCAAATACTATTCATTTTTTTGTTTTTTTCACATATTTGTTTACCTAAACAATTAATTTGGACAATATGTTTTTAAAAGATTTTTGGTGTGGGAAGTGAAAAATATGACTAAGTATTTATTTTTTAAAAATCTAAATTTTTTTGTTTTGTTTTTCGATTTTTTTTTACTTTTTTTTGTTGCTGACGTCAGCCATAGTAGAAAATGAGAATGATGTGAATGAAGAAATTGGTGATCTAGATGACAATGAAAATAATGATGAACCTTTCCTTGATGAAAATGAAAATATTGATGAACCTTGCCATGAAAATGAATGTCAAGAAACAAGATTTGATTTGAACATTTATGATCCACGAGTTTGGGATAATCTTGATGCAAAAAATGAGAGATTTACTTGTAGAAAAAGGTTCCCTAAGAGAAACTGTTGTGTCGATTCAGCTGCACCAAAATAGATTCAGCTGCATCCTCAACTTGTGATACTCGCAAGTACACGAGCCGTTCGGTAGTATAGCATATGTAAGTGCGAGGTCGATTCCACAGGGATTGGTGATTGAATAATCCAATTCAGTTTTCCTACACAAAACAGAAAAACAAGAAAGTGTTTGTGCCTAATAAATCTCGGTCGTAAAGCTGACCGAAAGGACATCCTCTCGGCCCTAGCACCTGCCCATGAACTGAAACGTGGCGTTTCATTAGGCATTTGCCTCCCTAAAGGACAAAAGAAAAGCTGCGAAGAGCCACGGCCGAGGCCGAAGGACGCAAGAGCCACGGCCGAAGATGTTAAGGTCACATCGCCACGTAGTAACAGGGTCCCACACTTCATTTAATGAAGTAATGCCTCTTTTTATTGCAGCAAACCCACTGGCCACGAAAAAGCATTTAATGCACGAGGGAAGATGGGAAGTGACTGAAGTCATGGTTTGGTGATGGGAATCAGAGTGATTAGACGCAAACATTCTCACAAAAATTCTTACAGCTTGAGAGATTAGGTCACCAGCTATCAGAGCAATAAATGCGTCTCCACGGCCAAGGGTGCAGAACCCACGATCAGGGTGGCGGCCGAGATTTACCGGGATTTATGGGGTCACACCACCATGCTTCACGATCCCAAATGCCGATTTGACTAGTGGTTGCTCTTATCAGGCTCCACCATGCAGATTTTCAGCCTCGATTCCTCCTCCAGAGCTCTTCCTATAAATACCAAGCTCAAACTACATTCAAAGGGGTCAACACCAAACACAAGCCTCCCACGGAGCAAATTATATTTTCCTGTCATTTACATTCTTGTAATGCACTTTCAATACATTTACTTGCTTTCCTAGGAGTAGTGATAGATTGTAAGGAAAATCCATTCATCAATATATCATACGACCCTTGATCTTCAAGGCGCCGGAGCACCATCTTTGTTACTCCACTCATCCACCCCATATATCATACGACCGTCGCTCAAGCAGATAAGTTCCTCTCTCGACCACCTAAAACCCACCATCAACACCACCACTAAAAGGCCTTGTAGCTCAGGCCGTGAACCTGACGGCCGAGATCAGTTCCTCTCTCGACCACAATCGTTTGGTTAGAAGTCAAACTCGAATAGGCGCACCACTTAAACATTTACCCAAACACATCACTCTCTCAAACGCACGGTAGACCATGCTTGCACGCCCGCGCACAACCGCACCGCATCCAAAAGAAGGACGTCACGTGTCGTCGTAGATCCACTCGGCCCATACCAATAGGCCGACAGATTTGCGAGCGCCAACAAAAGAAAATAAATAAAACAAGAAGGAAAGAAAAGAAAATAACTCAAGCAGATAAGTTCCCAAGTTCAATTAGATTAACGAATTGATTTTAGCTAAAGTATGATTAAGCCATGGTGTTTGGTCCTAACCTTGTATTCATAATTCCCTAATTTGATCATCTGTTGTCTAACCTAAACTAAGCATTAGGAATCCATTAAGCATAGAAGAACATTTTAAACAACCAAGTATGTATCTAATCCCTGTTGTCGAATGTCCATACATACTCTTCCTATTCATAGTTCAATTCGAATTAAAGTATGGTGTCTACTCTTAATTCAAACCAAGATAGCTAACATGCAAGCCTAAATGGTGATCAATCATTCAAACTAGCATATTAACTTATAAGCATAATGAATAAGAACAAAAACCATAATTGAAACTTGGAAACTAATCAAACTTGAAACTAAAGAAAAGAATTTACATAACAATGAAAAGTAAAGTGGAACTAAGAAAAACTTAAGGAGAATTTCAGCACAAAGATTTCATTACAACAATTGAAAACTAGAAAGAGAAACTAAGAGAATTTGAGGGAGAGAAGGGAGGGGAGCTCTAGAGAAGTGTTTGAGAGCTCCCCCCCTTGGGGGTGTGTTTTGAAGCTTGAAGACTTCTCTATCTATAGGGCTAAGAGGGAGGAACATCATGATGAATTCCAACACCACCATCCCTCTTTTAATACAATCCATAACTCCCACTTCATCTTGTTTATGTTAGTGTGGTTGGAATCAATTCCATCCTATACTTCTTTTGCTGCACCTCAAGCTTTCTTCACATGGGTTTTCAAAGGTGTTCAATTGTGGTTGCCTTTTGCTGCCAACCCATGTGGGTTTCTTTTGGTTGCTGAAAAAAATGATTCTTCTGAACCAGACTTGGTGTAGGAAGGCCTGAGGTTTCAATATGTATCCAATGGGGCTCAAATTTGGATATGTCATAATAGACACCCATTGGAACAACGGCTATGAAGAATGTATTCCCATATGAGCAGTACAAGTGTACGTTTTGGACCTTACAAGTTGACTGCCGAAAATAGATTGGAATTGACTTCATTGCAGTCAGCTTGTGGGCTTGTTTTGGGCTTGATCTTCCCTCCTTCAAAATCTAGAAAAATCTGGATCTTCAAACTCTTTGAATTATCTTTCCAAGCATATGCAGCCCAGCTCAAGGCAAAATCGGAAAGCCCTTCAAATGTGATATTCGGCCCAGTAACGCAGATGCTGCCGAATTTGACCTTAAGTTTCCAAAACTTGTATAACTTTCTCTAGAAGACTCGGAATCATGAACCGTAAAATGCTCCAGAAACTAGACTTCCGTATGTTTCCAATGATGTATGGCTCATCATCTGGTTCATCCTGAGAAAGTACAGTCCAGTCCGTGAAGTTGACTGATCTGCGGACACCGTTTTGAGCTAACTTGTCTCCAAAATGCATTTAATGAGTCTCAAGCTTATTACACTGAAACAAACACAAAATTTATTAAAAGCACAAGTTTAACTCAAAAACATAATCAAATCATAAGTTAGAAGGGTACAAAATGATATATAAATATGCACCGATCAAATACCCCCAAACCTAGATTTTGCTAGTCCTTGAGCAAAACAAAGGGAAAACAAAGATAAAAACAAATAAGACTAAGGATCGAAAATGGCTAGTGTACTCAAAGGAGTTGGATAAAGTGTTTTGTTTCTGTTGTAAGTTGTTTAAAACAATGAATTCTAGAAGTCAGTTAACTAGTGAAGGAATTAAAGATTGGAAACATCTTGGTGAGAAGCTTAAACAACATGAAAGCAGTATTGAACACCTCACTAACTTGAGGTCTTGTGTTGAATTGCAAATCAGATTGAAAACAAATCAAACAATTGATACAGAATTACAAGAGCTAATCAAGAAAGATCGATACACTAAACTGGAAAAATGTTATTGTCAGAATCATCGCTGTTGTGAAATGTCTTGCTATACATAATTTGGTTTTTCGTGGAACAAATGAAAAAATTTATGAAGATGGTAATGGTAACTTTTTAGGCCTACTTGAAATGATTGCAGAGTTTGATCCAGTAATGCAACACCATTTTCGACTCATTCAAGATAAGAAGATTCATTATCATTATCTTAGCCATAAAATTCAAAATGAGTTGATAGCTATTTTAGCATCAAATGTTAAACATGCAATCATTGAAAAAATAAAAACGGCTAAGTATTTTTCAATCATTCTTGATTGTACTCATGATGCAAGTCACAAAGAACAAATGACTTTAATATTGAGGTGTGTAGATGTTTCAA